AGGCAATTCTGAATCCCTTTCAGAAAGCTGGGTCCTTTGAGTTCTTAGCTTCTTCAAATGAAGCAAAGAGGAGAGTTATCTGGAAAGATGGTACTTAGCAACACCATCACCACTGCTGGCTACAGCTGTTATGTACAGAGCTTTCATTTCTTGTGAGGTCAAACCCCTGTAGATGATACTGAGATGGGAGGAGGGCCAAAACCCAGGAAACCCTTAATACTTAACCATATCATAAAATCCTCATTGCATTAGAAGAAATTGTCATAATTAGTGTGACTTGAGTTTTTAAAGATTTATTTGTTTATTCGAAAGAGTTAAGCCTAGACAAAGAGTGAGAGAAAGAATCTTCTGTCTGCTGGCTCACCACCCAGATGGCTGCAACAGCCAGGCAGAAGACAGAAGCCACGCATTTCATCAAGGTCGTCCACATCAGTGGCAGGGGCTGAAGCATACTGCTGCTTTTCCAAGGCCATGAGCAGGGAGCTGGATTGGAAGTGGAGCAGCTGAGACATAAGAGGTACCAGATTCATTTGGGAGCAGCCTTACTGAAGTCTCAACACTGGCCACTACTTAACAATGTTAAAAGCACTGCTTCTGACTTGAAGTCAGTTCTAGACAGGTGTGCCATGGTGCCAGGCACTCTTCCCTGCTCTCCTCTTCAGGGCTACTGAGATCTTCAGCAGGCTGGAAAGATACGGATACTTCATCAACAGGCCTGACTATAAGTGTGTTGGATTACCTCTGCATAATAAACAGGCAACTTGTACTCGAGATGGAAGCAGTGCACTAAGCAGGCATGGAAATTTTCTTGTTACTCTAAACACAGCTCTAAGAGCTGAGATCACATGGGCCAGAGAAAGACTAATTAAAAATACATAACTGGAGATAAAGTTCTAGTGACTTTATCAGTGTGAAAGTCAATTTCGCTAGACTTCAGTACTAAAGCCTATTGAAACAGTATTTCCTGGATAAAGTCAGGAACTGAAAAATCAGTGCCTACATACCCATGATGAGAAAATCAGAAACCCAGGCCAGGCATGATGATGTAACAGCTTGGTCCTCGGGGGACCAGTTCAAGTCCTGACTGCTCTATTTCCCTTCCAGCTCCCTGCTTGTGATCTAGGAAAGCAGTTGGGGATGGCCCAAAGTCTTGGGCTGCTGTACTTACAAGGGAAACCTGGAGCATACATCTGTCCAATTGGACTGGCCAAGCTCTGGCCATTGGGGCGAGATCTCTCTAGTTTGCCTTTTTCTCTTACTTGCAAGTAAAATGAACAATCTGTTTTTAAAAATCAAAAAGCCAGACCAGCTGGAATTTGAGAGTGGGTGGAGGTCCTAATCCATGGTCTCTGCAGAAAAATGTTTAGAAGCAGCTTGAAAATCATTATGAAAAAATCTTCTAGATCCATGAGTATCACATACCCAAGTAAAAGTTAATAGCCTGCCACTATACAACCAACCCTCTTTAAGGAATTTAACTGCCACCAAAGATGAAATGCACAAAGGTTATGATATTCAAAAGGAAGACAAATACCAGAAAAGAGTATCCACAAGTGTGACAAGGAAAATGCTTCTTTGAGAAATTACAAACAATTAAATAGTGGTTCTACAAATACACATGTTCAAAATGTTTGTGGAATGAACAAAGCTGCTCATAAAATGGTAGCATAAGAATAAGATTTAAGAATGGGAGAATTTTCTTAAGAAACATATAGTCAGCCTAAAAATTTGGTGATAACTTCTGTTAGTTGAGGAATCCATAAATGAGTACTGACGAAAAGCTGTTTCCCATAGTGTTACTTGGGTGTTGGGGAGGGGGCACACATAGGAAGAGAAATGGTTGCTTTCTAATGTCTGAATTACAAAGCAGGAGCAATAAACAGAATGGTTTCTAAACAGCATGGTTTATTGAACTTCTTATCACTACAAAAGACTTACTAACCCTGGTCTCTCCTTCTTGATATTTAAGAAAGATACTTTGATAGCAAACTACACTAAAATATAATTACTTGGTCTTTTAGTTCCGACTTTATTATCATAGGGAACTATGGGGTATATTTTTTTTCTTTAGATTGAAAACTCATTTACAAATGAGCTCATAATGAACACTTTAATTAGATTGGCTTTGGCTGGCCTAAAAGCTTAAGAAGATATTAATATTCTAATCAAAAGTTCTGGGAAAATATTCTTAGAAAAGAAAGAAAATGTTCTTTCTTACGCTTGTTTCTGAGAACGAGGGATCCTGTCAAGAAACCCAAGATAACGTCTACAGAATCAGTGAGTGAGTGAGAGTTTTGGCTACATTGGGCCCACCTCCATGTTTGCAACATATTCCAAGTTCCCACCTGACACACAACAGATTTGTTCAGCTGCTTTGAATAATTTTTTACTCACACTCCAGGGGGAAAATTGTTTGGAATTTTTAGCCTTTTCATGGCAAGGGAAGGAGTTTGCCAGTGATAAGCCTTTTCCTGTAATCTGTCATGCTTTCTTAGTACATGGCTGTTCTGACTCAATGCTTATCTTACCTTAAAAAGAACAGTAAAGATTTAAATACAGAATATTTATAAAACACTATTGGGAAGGTCAGTTCTTTCATATTACCTGACTTAGTTCTAGTAGACAAGTCAGTAAAAATCACTGCCTCTTCTGGATGAGGAAAAATCACTGCCTCTTATGGATGAGGAAACTGAGGCTCATGTTCAGAGAAATAAGTTGAGTTACCGAGCACCACCAAGATTGGCAGGTGGTGAAAGAAGTTCCCTTTACACAACTTTTAACCTCAGATCATATTCTCTCACCCACCAAAGCTAAGGAACCTCTTTCCTACCAGTCATTTGGATATTTATAATGGCATTCATAGTCCATACAAAATTATCAATTTAAAAGCGATTCTGCTATAAACTTACTGAATTTTGAATCCTGCCTGTGGTTGCCTTGGCAGAGCTAGCTAGACCAAGTGATTTCCCTGGGCCGGACATTCCCCACTGCTTCCCTAAGGTGAAAAGTACTGTAGAATTCACATAAATGACAAAGGATGGGTAGAAACTGTGATGAGACCAGACATGGGGATGCTCCTGCGTTACCCCTGCTCGAGGGGAAAAGGAGGAAAGATTTTGCAAAAAAAAAAAAAAAAATAGAGCTGCTTTCTGGGGCTCACACATTTGGTGTTCTTTGTGGGTCACTTCTCCTTCCTTCAGCTTCTCCCAAAGACCTCATTCTTTTTCCCACTGGAGTCTTTTGCAGAGCATACCTTGGGGGGGGGGGGAAGATGAACACTACTCTACCAGGTAGTGTGCAGTGCCTTGGAGCAGCTGGGCAGACCAATGGTGTTGCCCGTGGTCTTCTTCTTCCCCAGGGTAGGCTGTTACAAGGGAATACACAGCCAAATGCAGCTTAGCATCTACTCTGGGAGCTGCAACTGGTTCTGTGGACCCAGCGCCACGCCCTGCCTCACAGTCCTTTACCATGACCAGTGCTGGCTTTTCCTCCTAGTGTAATTATGCCACATTGTGTCACCTTATTCTTGCAGCATCTTCAGCCTTCCTCTCAGAGTTCCTGGACACTTACCTGGGGTAGAATACATCAGTTTTCTAAATCTTATCTATTGATCCTTGGATATGTAAAGATATCACAGAAAATATTTGTTAAAGGCTTAATTTTGCTCATTTCTTAACACCTGACTCTACCTAAAGTCCTGGAGAACTGCCCTTACCTCAAGTCTTCATTACAGGTGTCTAGTTGATAATCCTGGCATAATCTATTCACTTGACGTCCTTTTCATATAATTGGTGAAGCTCAGGGGTAGTTCCAGAAATGGCGTACAGACATAAAGTTTGTTGGAGTAAGAGGCCTGCAAAGCCATAGGGGAAGTATGCTCTTGCCCAATCTAGACTCCTTCCTCCAATTCCTCTGAAATCTATTCCCACAATAACCAGTTCTTTAGTATTCACAAAATATCTATGCTCAATACTTATCAGAGAATGCTAATAACTGTTCATGACTCAGTAAAGTTCATGAGAGAAAAGAAGTAATTTAAAGAATGAGGTAGGGGGATTGGCACTTTGTGCCACAGTTTAGATGCCACTTGGGACACCTGGAGCCCATAATAGAATGCCTGGATTTGAGCCCAGGCTGTACTTTCAAGTCAAGCTTCCTACGACTGTGTACCTGGAGGCAGCATTCAATGCCTTGCTTCCCCACCAGATCCCTGCCACCTGTGTGGGATCCCAGACATCCGGAGAGTGAGATGAAGATGGCAGGCTGCTGTCTCTGTCTCTCCATCCCTCAAATAAAAGGAAAACCAGTAATTTTAAAAGAATGATTTATTTGTGTTATATTGGAAAAACAGATTTATAGAGTGAAGGAGGGAATCACTCCCCAGATCGCCTCAATGGCTGGAGCTGAGCCAATCCAAAGCCAGGTACCTCCTCCAGGGTGCAAGGTCCCAAGATTTTGCCCTCCACTACTTTCCCAGGTCATAGCAGAGAGTTCAATGGCAAGTGGAGCAGCTATGTCATGAACCAGTGCCCCATGAGATGCCAGTGCTTGCCAGCTAAGTTTTAGCCAAGTAAGCCATCGTACCAGCCCCCTACTAATAACTTCTTGAAAAAATAAAGACTAAGGCATAGATGTGTCACAATGCTGAGATAAATTAGTCTTGCTTATCTCAGAAAAAAAAATTCAAGTCATTCTTAAGATTTACATGTCTGTAATCAACATCTAAGACTTCTAGAAACAACACAAAGAACTTAGATAGGTTTGTTCACATAGGATCCCACTTGGATATCTCCTTGAGGAGACTTGCCATTCCTACAAAAACAACATGCTGTAAAAATGAAGTGTGCAACCTTGCTTTTATTGCTTCAGTGTTACTTCAACAGACTTTTGTATTTTCCCTAAAACCGAGTTTCTGAGTTCAAGATGGAGAAGTAACAGGAAGTTAACTGTATTTTATCTTTTCATTTTTATTTCCCCCAGCTGCTTTTGGTAAGACAAATTCAACTCAGGAGGCCAAAATGATTCTCAATTCTACTACGGAAGATGGCATCAAAAGAATCCAGGATGACTGTCCCAAAGCAGGGAGGCACAATTACATATTCATCATGATTCCTACTCTGTACAGCATCATCTTTGTGGTGGGAATATTTGGGAACAGCTTGGTGGTGATTGTCATCTACTTTTACATGAAACTCAAGACTGTGGCCAGCGTTTTTCTTCTGAATTTAGCACTAGCTGACCTGTGCTTTTTACTGACTTTGCCCCTGTGGGCTGTCTACACTGCAATGGAATACCGTTGGCCCTTCGGCAATTACCTGTGCAAGATCGCCTCGGCCAGTGTCAGTTTCAACCTCTATGCCAGTGTGTTTCTCCTCACGTGTCTCAGCATCGATCGCTACCTGGCTATCGTCCACCCGATGAAGTCTCGCCTTCGCCGCACAATGCTTGTGGCCAAGGTCACTTGTATCATCATCTGGCTGCTGGCTGGCTTGGCCAGTTTGCCAGCTGTCATCCACCGAAACGTATTCTTCATCGAAAACACCAATATCACGGTGTGTGCATTTCATTACGAGTCTCAAAATTCAACCCTCCCCATAGGATTGGGCCTGACCAAAAATATTCTGGGTTTTTTGTTTCCTTTTCTGATCATTCTTACAAGTTACACTCTTATCTGGAAGGCCCTAAAGAAGGCTTATGAAATTCAGAAGAACAAACCAAGAAATGATGATATTTTTAAGATCATTATGGCCATTGTGCTTTTTTTTTTCTTCTCCTGGGTTCCCCATCAAATATTCACTTTCCTGGATGTGCTGATTCAGCTGGGTGTCATCCATGACTGCAAAATTGCGGATATTGTAGACACCGCCATGCCCATCACCATTTGCATTGCCTATTTTAACAATTGCCTAAATCCTCTTTTTTATGGCTTTCTGGGGAAAAAATTCAAAAAATATTTTCTCCAACTTCTTAAATACATTCCCCCGAAGGCCAAATCCCACTCAAACCTGTCAACAAAGATGAGCACGCTGTCCTACCGCCCCTCAGACAACGTAAGCTCGTCCACCAAGAAGCCCGTGCCCTGCTTTGAAGTTGAGTGACACGTTCAAAACCTGTTGGTGAAGAAATCTTGTTCAAGAAGGGGCCAAAGAAACATCCCTGCACATTCCTTCACTGCCAAAGGAACATTAGCTACTTTTCAGGATTTACGGAGAAATGGGGGTCCAGTGGACTGGACTGGCTTGTCTAAAGCTCTGAACAAAAGCTTTCCTTTTCCTTTGCAACAAAGCAAAGCCAAGCCACATTTTTTTTTTTTTTTTTGGCATGAAAGGGATGACGGCTGCTCAAAGAATGATGTCGGAAACGGGATGACTTGCGCATTTGAGACATTCTAGAGCCGGAAACGCAGTCTCCCCAGTCTGCTCTTGTTCTATTAGTTTCCGTTGCTGCACCAAGGTATCCAGTGTCTGAAATCTGTGGAGAAGCAACAGCGCAGTGTCCAGCACAGTTCTGCCCAGTGTCCGAGGAGTGGCAAATTTTTTTTGTGCCTGTTTAGCTGTTAGCAATTGTGCCCTACCTGAACCTGCTACTTCACATTTTGTATAAAGATTTGTTCAGCAGGAGTTGTCAAGTTTCAGAATCTTTTGTGAAAGTCAACCAGAATCTTAAAGATTTATACTGCCAAAATCACGGTGGCAAAATGGCTTACTTGTGTAATGGTGTTACTAAAATTCTGTGTCAGAGTTAAATACTTGTAAAGGTGTCATTTTATTTCCAGGTAATCATTTCGCTGTTCGTATTACTTTTGTTTCATATTTGAAAAGTGTGTATAGTTTTGAGTAAAAGATTGTATATCATAAAGTATTCCTTGCTGTTTCAACAAAGAATATGTAGTATATATAAATATATGCACACATATGTCTATATGTATATCAATATTGCTAAAGCGATGTTACTTGAATCAAATCTGGCAAAGATATATTTACCTTAAATAAAATAACTTTATTATAATGCATTTCATCGTCATCACTTCAAATACATGTTGACTTACTTTTTAAGACAAGATGTCTTTTGTAAGTATGACCATGGTTTCATTTTAAATTCCAGTAACTGTTAAATCAGTAATGTTGATTCCAAATTTCATATCCTGTGATTGAAAACATAAACAAGGAAACATTGTGCTAGATTATACCACTTGGAAAAAAACACAGGACTTTGATTTTTTCTGACTTTTTCTAAGGAAAAAGTCTTACTTCTTAAAAACTAAAACTGATTATTTTACACATAATTTTTAATGAGGCACTATTTCTAATATGAACATATTATCATTCTTGAAAACTTTAGAAAAACACAAAAAAATAGAAAAATATTTTCCATTCAAAAAATGATCACTGCAACATTTGAATGCATTTTCTTCTACTTTCTCTGTTTTAATAAATTTCAGGTCATCACAAGTTATAAGTTAATAATGAATTATAATGAATTATTATAACAAAATAATGAAGTTGAGACTCTACTACACAAAATGTTAGCATGGATGTCATGACTTATTACTCATTTATATATTGAGAGGCTCAGCAAACTCCATAGTCTTGAAATGTCCCAAAAATCCACATGAAAAGAATATTTACTACAAAGAGTTGAGTGCCCCAAACACTCAAGAGTAATATAAATGCCAACACACACACAGGTTCCAATTTTTATGTCCCTATGAACATATTCATCTTTTCAATCATTCATCATGAATTCAGAAACCGTCATATTACTTGCCTAGCCAATGCTGAACCACTGGAGCTCTGTGACAAGTGCTTAGAATGTGTGGCAGACATTTCTACCAGATGCGTCTTGCAGCTGTAAGTGAGTACACCAAGAACTACCTTGACTGCCAGCCCGTGGAGGAGTTCACAGAGTACTGAGGCAACTTCTTTTCCAACAATACCTGTCAGCCTGCAGAGCCAGAGAAGAAAAAGCAGATTCAGATAATTCACTCAAGTGGTAAGCAAAGCAAATGATCCCTCGGAAATGTTGGATACTTGATATGGAGTCTGAGATCCCTGACAGTAAAGTAAATTGTAGAGAGATTGATGAGCGGACAAGAAGCTGGAAGCAAGTGTCCATTGCCCCAACAGCAGGAAGAACGCCTGGGAGGACAGCATATGTAAGTTTAGGGTTCCAGGTTTATGTTGGATCCACAAGACCCAAAACAACCAGAACAAGAGGGAACCTATCTACTATGGAAAGAAGCAAATTAAAGAACAGTAGACAGAGTGGTAAGACTCATCCATTTCAACTCTCTATCCCCCAGGATACGCGATAGGAAATGACAGCTCCCTGTGGAACTATGCAGGAAGCCTGTGCACAACAAAGAGTCAATACAAATGGAATAAGGAAATTAGAGAGAACTTTGGAGCTAATGATTGGTCACTTGTTTCATATTCCAAATGTTGCTTATCCATGAAAATATGTCTGTAACTATATCCACTCATCACTTTCTGTGGCTGGACACCCTTAAAATCATCTATAAAGTGTTCCTTTTCCTTTTATCAAGGAAATTCCCACACCACCGCAAGAACAAGACCATCTTAAAAGACACCTTCTCCTCTTTAATCCCATTCCCAAGCCAGTTAACTGGTCGAGACTTTAATGGATCTGTCTGGTTTGTTGTTGTTGTTTTTCTGAGGCTTTTTCAAACAGTTTGAAAATGCCAGTTTGGCATTCATGACATGTAAAACCGGGATCTATTAGGAGCCGTGCCTCCCACCATGGTGAAACGTTAGCCTAACCTAGTGATATTGGAGTCCTTGAATCTACCTGGTGCGACACCCCACTTATCCCAGATGCATTATACTTTGAAATTAGCATCCAGGCTTCTAATCAAGAGATTTGAGTACACCGATCAATAGCTTAAGTCTGCAGGGCTTCTTCCTACTTGCAACTAATAAGAATTTCTCTTTTGTAGCAGCTAGTATTCCATCTAAGCCTCTGAGACCTAGACTTCTTTGTCTCTGTCTTACCAAGGGTCATGAGGAACATCCCTTTTTCAAATGTCTCCTTATAACAGGATTTGGCCTAGCCAGCTAGTAAAGAGAGAAGTATGGTGATACAGAAAAACTGAAGATCAGATGGGCTGAGAGTTCTATAAGGCCAACTCTGATAGGTTGTTTCTTCAAAGATTGAGTTCAAAGATGAGTTACAAAGAGCAAGACACAGAAACTACCCAAATGGCTGCCAAGGTCAACACTGGGCCAGGCCAAAATCAGGAGCCAGAACCACCTCTGAGTCTTCCTCATGGGTGCATGGGCCCAAACCATGTGGATACAGGGGCCAAAGCACTTGGACCAGCCTCCAGTACTTTGCCAGGTACATTAATAGGGAGCTGGGTTGAAAATTGAGTAGCTGGAACTCAATTGGAGCACCAATATGGGATTTTGGCACAGCAGGAAGTGTCTTAACATACTTTGCCACAGAACCAGTCCCTGATGTAAACCATTGTAAGCAGGTCTTCTCCAGAATTGGAAAAACAGCAAGATAAATTATTTCCTTAACCATTTGGGTGATGAAATTATGAGAGCTTAAATGAGTGTCCTGAATTACTGAAGGGCCCAAACACATGGTCTGCATGCTACTTGGACCAGAAAGTGACCAGAAAGTCCTCTGAGTCTGATAGAATTGGTGAGCATGGTGTGTCTTTTTACCCAAACACAATGGAGAAAATCTCATTGGCCAAGCCAACCATCCTTTATGGAAAAACCATGCAACTAGGGTCCCCCAAAAGTAAATTTCTACAACTAGAAACAACAGGATTAAAACATTACTAGCCTTTTTGTTTGTGCTAAAAAACAGTACCTTGACTTGAAAGGATATAGCTTTAAAAATAGTTCATTCTGAATTATTCATACACAAGAAAACTTTGTTAACTCTATAAATTTAAAGGCTATGAGATTTACCCTTCAAATCAACATGATAGGAAAATATATGCACAAGAAATCTAAGTCTGATGAATAGGTCATTTTGACTTGGAAATCATTAAAAGCCAGTTTGCTATTAAACTCACTTTGCTCCAAGGATGCAATGTTGGAGCCATGTTTGTCCCTACTTCATGCTGAGCTTCTTTGAAATAAATAAATAAACAAGATGAAGAGTAAAGGACCTGGCTACAACTCCCTTAGAGTTGAGATACGTCTCGTGAAATTTCTAAATTTCTCCTCCAACTCTGGTAAAGTTTCACTATGCCACATGAGCCCAGGCAAGGGCCTAATGATAATATTTCAAAAACTAGATCCATTTCCCTCAAAACATCAGATAGAAAACAAGCTGGTATTGGCCAACAGGGAGAGATCCTCCTAAAGCTCACCTCCGAGATATGGGCAAAGCCCCTTGGGCGAATCCCCTGAGCAGATCTGCCGTGAAGCAGGAAGCTGTTGCAACACAAGAGCCCCCAGATGTGAACCTACACTAACCATGGCCTTTTCCTAGCCATCGCCATCTCAAAGGAGCTTCAGAGAACTGAATTTATATGCAACAAAGCACATTAACTAGAGAATATGCAGGAAACTTCCTAAATAAGCACGAGCTATACTCATTCACCATAGTAAGCGATGATAACACGGTAGAGGGGTCTGCTATGTATCATCATTACACCTATGCCTTGAATCCTCCCACCCAATCTGTTCTCTGTCTTCTGGAAATAGCCTCCTATTCCCATCTACGTGCACACTCTTGGTGCAGAAATGCAAAGGGATGGGTCCCCGTTACAAACACACCCATGGAGCCTCTAAGAAGACCTAAGCAAATCAGCCCATTATATTTGTCTGATTGCAATCACAGGACCTAAACAGATCCAATCACAATGGATTTCCTGATTATTGCCGGAAGCTATCAGGAAAAATGTTTCTTCCTCCTCATTATATGCAACTTAAATAGACCTGAGAGGTTATTATAGCTATGTTCTCACTCCAAAGGAAAAACGTGGGATGTCCCGGAGTTTACGCAGGGGACACAGGGATAAAACTAACACAGTGAAATCTACAGTGGAAGGGAACTGAGAGGAACCAAGTCCTTATAACATCACAAGGGAATTGACCCTTCTGCCAGGAACCAGCACCACCCCACCCCAGACTTCTCTTTGTTTTTAGGCCAGATTTCTCTTTGTTCTTCAGCCAACTGAAGATGAGTTTCCTGTCAGAATTATTCCCCAAAATCTGATTTGCGGCAAACCAGTAATCAATCAACAGATTCTGCTACAAGTATCCTCAATACTCAAAACAGGTCTGTGGTTATCTTTAAAGATCAAAAGAAGCGTAGGAAGTTTCCATAACTGTTTCAACACAACATAGATGGAAAGTCATGGAATGAAATTGGAACCCAGGCATCTGTCTCTAGAATATTTGCTTTTATTTGCTAAATCATGTTTCTCTTTCCAATACTTTCAGATGTCATTTCGAGTAATGAATGCTTTAAAACATTGTACATATATATTTATTCAGATTCAATATGATGATATTTAACTTTGTTTTAAACCCATCTTTACCGTATTTCAAGCTAGAATTACAATAACCTTTGTCCTCAAAAATTGGTCTCACTAATGGAAAGCACTAATTGACCTCATGCAGCATAGCACTAGATTTTACATTTATTGTAATTTGATTTTGAATGAGATTATACTGGGTCTAGCAAACAAACAGGCTACAAACTGTTAAATGTCACAGTAATTAGTAAATGATATGGTCCTTTCAGAAGCCAAGAATTTAGATAGCATCTACTAAATGGGAAGGAGGAAATTCCTAAACTGATTTCATGTCAGCATTTTACTTTCTGGGTCACATGGGCATTGATTCATGTCCTTACTGCTCCACTTCCAATTATATATCCCTTTAATATGCCTACAAAAGCAGTGGAAGATGGCCCAAGCACCTGGACCCATATGAGAGACCCAAAAGAAGCTTCTGGCTTCTGGCTTCTGGCTTTGACCTGGCTCAGTCCTGGATGTTGTGGCCATTTGGAGAGTAGAACAAAAGACGGAATATTTGGGTCTTTCTCTCTCTCTCTCATCTCATCC